AATATCCTGAGTCACGCACTTTTTCTTCCTGAATGAATAAGTGAAAATTTTTAAAGTTATTAGTAGAACAGTGTTCTAGAGAGTAAGTTAAATACAGCCAAACATCCAAAATCCTTAAACTTTATACTCAATACTCATTCAGTCTTGTGCTATCTTGTATTTTCTTTTTCGCCGAAAAGTTCAGTTCATTCCTTTGGAAGTTTTGTTTATTTTATTTTTTTTACCCGTTCTGAAAGTTGCTTCTATGTTTTAATAACAATTTCACCAATATTCAAAAAATGTTTGTAGGTTAGTTTAAAAATGCTTCAACAAGCTGTGATCATTATGTCAGATTGATAAAGATCAGATGTCCCTACTAGACTAAGAAAAATTATCAACTACAATCTGCCTGCCCTTTTTTCAGCCATGATGTAGCACGTATTTTGCATCACAAGTAACATTTTAGACAAAAAGGAATTGGTGTGGGACTGGTGAAGAAAAGCTCTGCAGTGGCAAACACCCACTACCCACTGCGAATAGATCAGACCTCAAAGTATCCACTGTTCCGCTTTTATCCCTCCTCTACTGCAAATGCCACTTGGCTTTTTGATCTAAAGCCACATCTTCCGGAATCGTTCTACAAGTATAAACCTTTCTGGACTATCGTTTTTAATTTCCAGTCTTGCGAGTAAGACGATCCATACAGAAAAACCTTACTTTTCTAAGCTTTACCTCCATCCAAAAAACTGACGGTCTATGGCTGCACAATCCCATAAAGATGAATCCCTAAGAACTCCATTAACCTTCCTGACAGCCGCAACGGAGCTGCTTTGAGTTTTCCACAAACAAACAGAAATCACCAAAAAATTGAGTCTTCGCATTCTGAACAAAAAAATTTTCAAGTACTATGAAAATTGTGAAAACGAAGGCATAATAGGAAAGAAGAACAGACAATACGAGCCAATTTTTGAAAAATAATTTTTTACATTAGAAACGTCCACAAGTTATGACTTGTAGATCGGCAAAGTTTCCCAACCCAGCTTGAAAGTATCGAAAGTGTTGCAGCAAAATCAAAGAACCCAATAAAAGCAGATAATAGTAATAATAAAAAGCACTAAAAAACAAACCTACCTACCTACCTAATAATTGAATTATCAGTGCAAGAACATTGATAAACAATACCTGAGCTAGTAGTAATACTTTTACAGTCATTTACAAGTTTTTTGAGTGAGCAAAAAAGGTAATAATAAGTAGATATTATTATTACCGCACTATTAAAATATTCTGTTTTCTTTACTGTTTTAATAGATAATTTTCAAATCGCTGGAAAAACGTGCATTCAAAACGTCTAAATTCAAAAAATTAGCGTTTTGTAACCTTGCGAAGAGACTATGCTATAAAATATCTAAGTTCAAAAACTTATTTCTTTTGAAAGTTAAAGTATGATGAATACTGTATTAATATACATTTACACCATCGTCAAAATTCCAACTTTTTTTCAAAAAATAATAAACTAATAAATATATTATTGCCATTATTGTTATCATTATTATTATTATTATTACTACACTGCTACTACGGTTATCACAACCAGTACTTTAGTAATTTCTCGCTCTTTTTTAAATTAATCATTTAACAGAACTTTCAGAAACACTAATTCCATAATTAATAACAAATATGATAATAAAAGAAAATAACTGGAGGAGGTAAAATCAATTTCTGAAAATTCTCAGTCATCATACCAAAGCGTAGAAAAAAAGTGAGAAACTCTCTAGAAATTAAAAGTAAGGATCTTGAATAGACGATACAACAAAATAGAAAAAAAAATTCTGATATCATGAGATTAAAAAAATTCTTTTTACGGTGACATGCAGCAAGTATAATTAGGTGCAAAATTTTCGCAAAAAATAATTCCAAGACAAACTGCTGAAAGACTTAGTCAGACCGATAAAAAGAAATGACATACAACTTTTATAGGAATTGTAACAGGAGTTAATCAGCAATTCTTGCAAGAAAAATCATATTTTCTCCACCTAATGAATCTGAACAAAAAACCTCTCATATCGCATCCTGCTGTCTTTAAATTACATAAAACTCTAATGAAAATTGAGCATCTATAAGTTATGGTTCTTCCAGATTAATCAAAATATTTGAAAGCAAACGATTCACCACACCTTCTTACTTTTTTGCTGTTCCCAGCAGAAAAACAGTAAAATTTTTGAAAATTTTAATTGTGATTTTAAAAATTACCATTTTGAATTTGGCAAGCTGTTGCCTGATGCTAACAGGATATGAGGCTAGAGGAGAGCCAGGAGAATGCTGTAAACTTCCGGTAAATGATGGAGATAACTGAGATGTATTAGAGGACCCTTTCCGATACTTTGATGTTGCCGTCGGTCTGTGGCCTTAAACAGTAAAAAAAATATAGAAACAACAACTAGATGAAATAGAACTAAAGAAGATCCACAAGTTTTACAGTGAATTACGGTTTTTTAGGCAGTATTATTCTTATACCTTATAGAGCACTATAAAAATTTAAAAATCTAGTTAAAAAAAAATAAATAAACCAATGCATTTCACTACGACTAAAAATAAAAGTAATGATAACAAAAGAAAGCCATCAACGTTTACTATGAATGATCAGATGTTCGTGTTCAGATTCGCTCACAATAGACGAACAGTCATCCGACGACTCTACTTCACAAACTTTGTGAGTATTATGAGGTTGAACGTTATTACTAAGATTTAAATTTTCGCTACCACTCTCTGTTGTCATGGCACGCAGGTGAGTAACACTATAAAATGCAAACCCTTGAAAAATATGAAACGCTAGACAATTGAAATGGGTAAAGAAATCAGCTGATAAAACCTGAAACTTTAAATACACAAAAGTCATATGAATCTCCCAGGTAATAACAGAAATCCCGCACAGCAAATCCAAAAAACCTGTCCTAATCACAAATATACCTCAGAAAGATCCCATCCTGTAAAAACAAAATACGTTGAAACAAATCCCTCGACTCTGGTCCACCATCAAATTACTATGTATCATAGCATTCCTTAAAATTAAAAGGACATTCAAAATATGGTTCTGCCAACACGAAACCGACATCCTAAACGTATACACATTTGACAATCAAGAAAGCCTCCCAAAGCTCTAAATATTTCATAAGCCTAACAGATAAGGCTCTGCGAGAATCTGTCAAAAAAAACGCGACTCTTTATTTAGGAAACTTCAAAAGTATAAAACCAACAAACAAAAACTCATAATTTAAGTAAATGACATTAGGAATTTAACTCAACAGCGGCAACAAAAGTATCCGTTAGGTATCAAAAGAAAAACAAACAAAACAAAACAAAACAAAACAAAAAAGTAATCCGCAATAAAATTATGTCCCACAGATCTTTTTATTGAACGCGACAGCAACAACAGAACTTGACAGTCAACGAACAAAGAGAGATTAACCAAACACAACCCACACATATAAAACTCTTGCTCATCAAAAATAGCACCGGAAACGTTAACAATCTAAACTGGATTAGTTACAAGCTAACAACCGAATACAACCGACTCTTAGAGTAACAACAGAATGAGAAGCAAAAAAGACGGGAAAAAAACCCAGATAAATCAGAAAGACAAAAACTACCAATCTGGAAGCTCGGTTAGCAAAACAGCTCAACTTCAAGCAGAATCAACTCTTTAAAAAACCGCCGTCAAATACTTATTTCTGCATTGCCCACAAAACTTTTCAAATACAAAGGCATCCTATCTCTTAATTTTCCTCTCTTCAAGCTACCTGGATGTTTCTAGAATTTTTTCCACTAACTCGTTGCCACCCGAAGACCTGACTGTATTCAATATCTAGCTTACTAGTGTGACTCAAAAATCAACGCATAATTCAGCACTCTTCAGTAAGCTCACGGATAAAAATAGCTGGAATCTAACTCTATATAATAAACAAGAAATACTTTCTAAACAGCTGCAATCTTAAATACCTCGATTAACCATTAAGGAGTTTAGTAAACGTTGGATTACAAGACGCTGAGCAGTGACTGCATCTTTATAAGAAGCAATAATAATTAAACTTTTGTTTGAAAAAGATGGCAAAATGTGACAGGAAATGTACATACAGTAGTTTTCAACATAAATATCTACTATCTTTAAAAAGACGAAGAAAAATAGAAAAACAAATGGATCAACACCTCAGCAAAAGAAGGACTAAAACAAAATGATGACCTTACAAAAAACCCAAAGATAAACAACTTTTATGGCAAGACTTTAGGAGAGCTATAATAAAAGTCGTTACTGAAACCAAATGAATTCAAATAACTGAAAATTGTAAGATGCATATAATCTGACGCGAATAAGACGACCTGTCATCCCACTTCCCTACATTTAAAGACAAGAGTAAAACAAAGAATAATTAAAAGTAAAATTATGCTTGCAATTAAAACGTTTAAAATGCACCAGGAAACGTTTTTGAGCGTATCTAAACAGCGAAACAAAAGAAAAAAACATCAATCAAAATTTGTAACTCTAAAAACGACTAACTCAACAAGGCACTGCAGCTTATCACACTACAAAAGAGACAAATTAGATCGTCGACACTTATTCTTCAAACTTTGTTTTCTTATCCAAAAGAGGAGCAAACAATATTTATAGGCTACACATATAATGCAGATAAACTGTATGTATAATTATGTACAATCTAAAGTTAGAAAATGAACAGGTAAGTGGAAGACGAATATGTTACTGGTAAAAAAACATACGTCAAAAAACCATTAGCGAATTCGTATTAATCGTTAGTTGTTAATTAATCATTAACAGTCGTTAATCGATTCATCATCAGCAAAACTTTTACGCTCGAAAACAACCCTTTCGAAGCAAAATTTCATGTAGAGTGCCTTAAAAAAAGAGCAAAGTGCGTTTCCGAGAAAAAAAAACAATTTACGACAGAAAATTGACAAATATTAAAATGATGAAAAAGATTAAATCAAAAATGTCAAGTTGAATAGTGAAACTAAACGTTAAGGAAATTCAACAAACTAACAAATGGAGACGTTAGTTTTACTGTTTTCGGTTTCTTTTGCTTTCGGTGGTACTCAAACATAAATACATTTTCTTCCGCAAGCTCAAAGCTTTTTATATCATCCCAGTCCAGAGTTATTCCATCATCCTAAAGCAAGCCAAATAAATTTTTGACTTTTACAGAGACCAAATTACCGATTGGTTTTCGAAAAAAGATGAAGAAAATATAAATGCTATGTAATACAGTAAGCCAAGATATAGTTGTTGCATAATAAATCAACAATAAATAAATTATTTCTGAGACTTACCAGCAAATTACCATCGTCGCCACAAGCACGTAAAACAATTTTGTCAAAGGTTAATGAAAGAACCACATTGCCAACTTTGTGTGTATCACACGAACAAAATGGAAAAGTAATACGTGCATAACCTTCCAAGGTTCTCACCAATTTTAGATACTGAAAAAAATTTCGAGATTTACAACTCAAATACTCCCTTTAGTGCTTCAAGAACAACATAAACTAACTTCATCACAACGATCAAGGCTCTGCAACGCTTTCAGCTGATACAACTTCTCCTTTGCCTCAATCACACCCAAATTGACATCAGCAACCGCTTGCCAGAAACAAAAATGCTTAAAAAGTACACTGCTGAAAATGAATATTCTCACATACAGTTCATGTTCGACGAATATTTCGAAGTTGTCATAAAAAAATACAAGACAAAAACAGAAATTTAAGTATAACAAAGACATCTATCAAACATTTCAGTTATACCGTTGACAAAGTTCGATTTCCTTATGAAGATTGAACAACCATTTTCGAACGACAATACATGACGGTGCTGCTGAGGTGTAATTTTGAATGTAGAGTGCATGTGGATATTCGTCATCAGCAAGTTTTCTCTCTGTAAGAAACAATCTTAGCACAATAATGTAGAGGTAGTTCACATTCAATCCGGTCTCTACTTCTGAATGAATATACTAACAACTCAAGTACTCCCTTTAGTAAATGAAAATGAATTACAAAAGTTGTAAAATAAAAGCAAAAAATTCAAAACTTAAAGAAATTCATAAGCGGAAAAGTCTCGCCTAAAGAATCACGAGTATGATAATCAAGAATGAATAGAAAAATTTGACTGACCTAGATTCCCTTCTATCATTTCAAAAAGTCCACAGCATTCGCTGACTTCCGGTGTCATCTTAAGCCGTTTAATAATCATCTGAAAGGGCACATAAAAGCAGTTTTAAATATGTACATCTTGATAAACCAAACGAATATAACAGCATAATGATTTACAATAAAATAAAAT